ATCTGTTAAAACTTTAGACTTAAATATTAAAACTTTCAAGCAACCCCGTATATTACACCTCAAGTCATTTTACACCCCTCGAGAGGGGATGCCGGTGGTGACCAGAGGAGAAGGGAAATACCGGCAGAGACAGTCCACGCTCATCTCGAGTCAACACAACACCTTACGCTAAGGACGCTATTTTTAAATTTATTGTTTGCAACATATTTTACATGTGCCTTTTTTACTTCAATACAGTTTTAGTTTAAGTGATTTGTTTTTGTGTATTATTACGTGAAATTCCAATAAGATTCAACCTACACCCCAACATAAGTGGTCCTTCGAGCCGGAGAAATAAAGCGTTTTAGCGTTGCTAGAAAATTTTCAGTGGTCAAGCTGCTCACGACTTCCAAATGTATGGCCTTAGTTGCTAAACAAATAAATAGAGCTATGTAACCCTTAATAGTTTTATAATTTCGGGTGTGTCGATCCTTTAGCAAAAAAGGTCCTGCATAATCAAGTCCACAGTTGTAGAATGGCCTAGAGGGAAAAAGACGTGACGAGGGTAAATTACCCATAAGATAGGTTTCTAATTTAGGAGCCACCCTACAACAAATAATACAATCGCGAACGATTTTGCGAACCACTTGACGTCCATTAATGGGCCAAAATTTTTCACGAATGGAAGCTAATAGTAATTGAGGACCGCAATGATTTAAATTAAGATGCTCATTTCGTACAAGAATAGTAGTAAAGTGGTGTTTAGAATCAAGGACAATGGGATGTTTTTTATCGTAACAAAAATCAGAATTATGTAGTCTTCCGCCAACGCGGACTATGTTATCCTTATCGATAAATGGATTGAGGGTAAGTAGTTTACTTTTAGAGTTAACGTTACCATGTCTTTTAAGATGTGTCAAATCGTCATAAAATGTTTCATTTTGTACTAGTCGAATAATATATTTTAAAGCATTATCTATTTCCTCACAAGAAAGGTTGTCAAAGCTCCTTCGTGTAGGAGAAAATTTACAATTATTTATAAAGCGTAATACATAAGCAATAATGCGTTGTAGTTTTACAAATGAGGATATTTTAGTGATGATATCCAATTTCATCTGAACTCTTGAGATAAGGGCTGATACTGGTCGAAGCTCAGGGAGTTCAGAAGGTTCGAATGTTCTATTAGGCCAATGAGTTTCTGGTTTAGCTAGCCATGATGGGCCATGAAACCACATTTCAGAAGTGATAAGTGACGTAGGAGAAATTCCCCTTGAAAGAAGATCTGCGGGATTCTCAAGTGTATTCACGTAACGCCATGTGTGAGATTCGGTCAAAGTTTGAATTTGAGAAACTCTATTTGCCACAAACGTCTTTAACAAACTCGGAGCAGTCTTTATCCATCCTAGAACAATAGTGGAGTCGCACCAGTAAGTGATTTCTTCGAAATCTAATTGCATGTGTTGTTTTACCTTGTCTATCAACTCAGCTAGCAAGTAAGCTCCACAAAGTTCTAGACGCGGGTACCGTGAGAATGTGTTTTAAAGGAGCTACTCTAGTTTTGGAACAAAGTAGATGACAATGAAAATTTTCAAAGTTTTCAGATGAACGAATATAAATGCAAGCACCATATGCGGTGGTGGATGCATCTGAAAAACCGTGTAGTTGAATTGACTTGTAGTTTGTACAAATTACATGCCTAGGAATTTGTAACTGATTAAGTTTAACCAGTTGAGTCTGATATATAACCCATTTCGTAAAGATATCCATGGGAACGACTTCATCCCAAGAAATTTTTAGTTTCCACAAATCTTGTAAAATAATTTTAGCTGTTATAGTTACAGCCGAAAGCAAACCTAGTGGATCAAATATTTTTGATATAGTGGAAAGAATAAGTCTCTTTGTAACTTTACACTTGTGCTCTATAGGTTGAACATTGAAATGAAAAGTGTCAGATTTGGGACTCCACAATAAGCCCAAAGTTTTGATAGTATCGTCAGCTCCAATTTCCAAGGAAACATTATTTTGACTGTCTAAGTTTAAAATAGGTGCGTTTGACTTCCATTTTCTCAATTGAAAACCATGACTAGACAATAATTCGGAAGTAAGTGATTGAATACGTTTGATATCTTCTATTGTAGAACCACCTGTGTGAAGATCGTCGACATAAAAGTCCCGTAAAATTATAGAAGATATGTCGGGAA